TATGTATATATATGAATATATGAATATATGTATATATATGAATATATATGTATATGAATATATGTATATATATGAATATATGAATATATGTATATATATTTATATATATATGTCGTGTATATGTGTGTATGTATATATAATGCACGGTAATATATACATTTAAAAATATACATATATGTAGAAATATACAGTATATGCAGAACTGTGCAACAGTTAATAATACATGTTTTAGTTTTGTATGCAGTATATCATCTCTTTTTCTTGATATATATGTACAGTATATATACACTGTATACAAAGATATATGTGTTGTTTATTTTAACTATAACAATTGATATATAATTATTGTTATATATATATTCAGACTGAATTAAAATGTATTGTCATAAATGCTAATTTATGAATAGGCTACCAGTTTGAAACGGTTGTTAAGTATATTATTGTCTTAATAATAGTACAACATGGAATAAAGTATTTTTTTTTTCAGCAACAAATGTTCAGAGATGCTGTTCACTCACCAAATTACAAAGAAATCTTCAGCACGGAGACAAACATGTAGCAGCACTGGACTATTATTAAAACCAAATCATGCTCCGTTTGTCCAGTGTCAGCACTGACCAGCTTTACATTTTTTTTCTCATTTTTATTTCGTCCAAGTGCAGGCGGTCTATTCCACCTATAAACCTCTCACACAGCCCAGCCCAGTCACGATTAATGAAGTGCTTACTTAACCAATTTAAACCCTTAATTCCTATTAATTCAACATAATAGCCATCCGCCCTGCCAGAATTAACACTCCAGCCAGGAACCCACAAGTCTCTGCAGGCCAGAAAGAGTGGAGCCAGCACCTTCCAGATCCTTTGATAAATATGTAACAGTATGTATATCACTGTTAAAATGCATAACCCTCGTGTAAGACCCCTATCAAGTCTGCTTTACACCTGTATTACATTTCTCCCTCAATCAGCAGCTTTTTCTCAGACAGCGGCCTCCCACGAGGCGGAGAAACCATTACGTGAGACTGCAGCTCATTTGCAGGAAGATTGGAGATCACACTGCATCAAAAAGTATGTGAAGCATTTCGGAGAATAAAATTGATTTATTCTATTTCTGTATTTGTATGCAGCATCAGTATGAATGTATTTAATATAATCTGCTGTAACATTGCCAGGTCGGCAACCAGGTACTTCACACCACATATATATGTATAGGTATAGGTATATGTATATACATATATATATGTAGATAGATAGATAGATAGATGTATATAAATACACACACACAAATATAAATGAATACAGCGATTCCTCGCACCCTCTTTATGATCTACTGGTTTTGCTTGTTTAAGCTACAAACACATTAGCCTCTCCCTTGAAGAAAGTAAAAGCCACATAAACAAATAAATAAATATTTCCCAGTATTTTAATTTTGACTTGGGAAAAACAGATCGAGCAGAGCCTGTGGCTAGAGGAGCCTGACTGCATGCTGGTGGGGGGTAAAAGACAGCCTGGGGGTGCGTGGAGGGCGTCTGTTTTTTAATGAGCTGAAACTTTAAATACTGCATAATATATAATAAAAATGGATAGTTCATTTAACTCTGCAGATAAGTCGTGGAAAAACTATTAAAATCCATTTCTGCCTTAATGTCAACAGAGTAAACATTAAGTATGAATGGAGGGAACATGATGCCACATCACCCAGCCAAGAACGACAACGCAATAATCAACTTGGAAAAGGAAGAAATTCTGCCACCGAGTTAAGTGCCACGGCTTAAGGGCATTAAGTAAATAGAAAAAACATTTACAATGATATATTAAGCTTTATACATTTCCAATCCACTCCTCGACACGACATTTGCATTTTTATTGTGCTCTAAATGTGACTTAAGGCATAAATGACCTTGGTGAAACCTTCTAGTCTTTGCAACTTCTCAAATGATATTAGTGCAGACGCAGGAAAAGCACAAGATGAAAGGACGGACATCTTTGACTGGGAAGAGTCAAGCCTCACCTTCCACTGCTAACACGCATGATCATGAAGCTGCAAAAACAACTTTGTCTTCTATTATCTCTTAAAAGCCTAAAGCCCATGTTGTACTATTTTTGATGGGTAATTTACATTCATTCTTAAATTAATCAAAGAGTGACCACTGTACCCTCCAACAGTGGCAGTGAAAAATAAACCTTAAACCATTTGCTTCACTTAATACAGAAAATATTTAACATCTTTAATACGGTCTCCTCTAATCCCACATGACACATTCCCTAATATATGTATCTGGAAATACTTACTACTCTTGATGAATAACAGCAAAATAGTAGAAAAAAAAAAAATCATTTTGGAACTGTGAATTTTTGTACTGCTAGGCTGAAAAAAAAAAAATCATTTTTGAACTGTGAATTTTTGTACTGCTAGGCTACTGTTGTAAATGATCTTAGTGGAAAAACTACAAAAAACAATTTGAATTTTTAATCTCATTTTTGTCTTTTTCACATTCATAGTTTTCTATTATTTACCTAGTGTATTTTAGAGAAATTGTGGAAAAACTACAAAAAACAATTTTCACATTCATAGTTTTCTGTTATTTACCTAGTGTATTTTAGAGAAATAGTGTATTAAAATAATACCGCCGCTCAACCACCAGTCTGTACGGTGTCATCATTTTGTGTCATCAACATACAGTACGATCATTAATAACTGCAGTTAAAAGCAGATCTGGATTTTAAAGATACAAATGAAGCACGGCCTCTAACTAAGAGTTTGGCTGTGACATCCACATAATTAAGAGAGCCACATCACTGCGGTGTGTGACTTGACACTTGTGTGTATTAAGACGTCATTTCAGCGTGATCCCTGAAGTGATCTGAGTGATGGCTCCGGCACCCCTGCAGTTTGTGGAGCAAACACGGAGACAGTGCCGTTGGCCGATCCAGAGGTTTAATACCAACACCCTCGGCAGCATTAGCTGCAGGGGTTGTACACACAATAATTGTTTCTGCCAAGCCATACATCTGTATGACAGAAGAAACTGCTACCACTTTCTCCTTAAATAATTGATTTCAGCAGTGGTCACATGGACTCCACTCTGAACACCAGCCGGACCGTTGCTCTCCCCCTTTCACTGAGGAAACGGAGAAGTTATTAGCTAATTAGACAATAATTACAAGTCTCTGCTAGTTGATTAGCAATTTCACTGTTGAACATTAACAATCTACAGCAAGACTCCACTCCGTTTCAACACTCGTTCTGCTTTACTTACCTACATTCTAAGCCGCACGAGTATTTAAAGATTTCACCTTGACAAAATGTATCAGCGGCTCGAGCATGCAATTAAAGCTGACAAATAGGCATTAGTTCTCTCTTCATTACCATGTTGGATGCGACTTGGGTAATTTAGCCACTTCAGTACATAAGCAGCTATTAAAAAGCATCAATCTCAGGGCAAACGCAGATACATTTTCTTAAATGAAGCCCTGTTCCTCTGCACTGCTGTTGACTCGGGCTCCGTGTGTAACGTTGAGACTGTGTCCAACCTCCCCCACAGTTTAGGGTGACTCAAAAATGAAAACAAATACAACACACTCGGCTGCTCCACAGTTTAAATTTCACTGGCTCACATCATCATGTAAAAGCCATACACAAAGCTGAAACCCCACGCAACTGAGTCTGGCTGAACGCTGGTATCGGTGTACCTCCTGGGTCAAAGGGTCAACGAGTAATTAAGACATGGTTGCCTGAGCATTCCCCGCGCACACTGACGGTCTGATGAAAGGTTGGAAACCGAAGGGGGAGGACTCAGGCGCAGCCCGATACTGTGGGTCACGTTTCCGTAAGTGTGTCTAAATGTCCCTCGTTTAGGACGTTTGTTCGAAGGGCCGCGCGTCGACGTCACGATGTGAGCGCCTTTGGACACACCTGCAGGATTAGGTCAATTATTCCCTCTACATTGACTGTAGTATAAAAGCCCTCTGTACTGTAGTGGACTGGCACACTGTCCAGGGTGAACCCTTCTCTCACTCGATGACCTTGACAAAGATGACAAGGATGTGGGCACTAGGTGAAGTCTTCTTCTCTAATCCACCTGCTCCTCAGTCATTATGACGTAAATCCATTCATTATTTACCGCATCTTCCTTGGCTTGAATGTGGGAGCTGCTGGAGCCAATCCCAGCTGTCAACGGGTGAGGGTGGGGGACACCCTGGACAGTGAACCAGTCCTTCACAGGGTCACATGTAAAAACAAAATAACCATTCATGCTCAAATACACATCTGCGGTCAATGTGTCTGATCAACCTCACGAAAAACCCACGCAGACACGAAGAGAACAGGAAACTTTGATATATTGAGATATTTCCATTAACAAATGCTGACCAGGTGTAATAGATACAGTATCTGACACACACAGGTCAAAGACTACCACATCAAAACAGCAAGAAAAAAAACAAAATAACACAAATACATAAGGAAGCTGCACATGATGCACAGCATCGCAGTAGATCGATTGCAAAGAAGGTTAAAAGGTGCATTGATTGACATGTACAACAAGAAATTGCTCATTCACTTTCTTTGTTGCTAAAATGAGGAGGCCAAGGCCTGAAGAGTGGGGTCACTGATAAGAGCTATTAGAAGGAGATGCTGAGGGGTGAGGAAATCAATATGGCAGTTTGTCAACCTGCCTCTGAGGGAGCAGGCCTCTGCTGCAGACTGAAGTGTGCCCCGTCAGCAGAGCACATTACCAGAAATCAAAGGCCAGAGAAAGGCCTGAAGGAAGGCATGTAGATGTCTCTACAGAAAGGCTACACTTTGGTAATTAAAACCCACTTTATCACACCTGTCTTGTCACTGTTTTTCTCTAACACTATCGACTATGTGTTGCATGGGGAGTGATCACTAATTTACCCCAACATAAATGAGCGGCAGATTTTTAGATTTCTCTGTACAGCAGAAGACAGAGGAGCATGAAATCTTGTTTTGTCCAAACACGTCTTTTGTCCATCTTTTTTTTTTACCAAACACATCTTTTGTCCATCGTTTTTTTTTTAATCTACAGTAGTTATTCTGTCCATCGTGTTGCAAACATTAACAAAGAGTGAACTGAGATTAATTCCATTGAAACATCAGGCATAACAGAGACCTTCATATTAACATTTTTCCAACTATATTTTCCTTGAATTATTTCTCATAAATAAACATGGCACGTGTTGTAGTAAAGGTGGACAATGTTGTGTTTTCCAACAATATTTTCCTTAAATAAATCATAAATAAACATGGCATGTGTTGTAGTAAGGGTGGACAATGTTGTCAGGGAGGGTCAATACAGGTTTTAATATTGAGCACCTTCTTCTTCTTTGTAGGCAAAGTAAACAGTGACAGGTCCAACACTCGTCTGCACAGTCTCTGCTGCTCCAATGACCATCCAGCAGCCGATACCATAGGCCAAACAGGGGAGACCTGGAACAAAAGGAGCAGAGTTGATACCCAGGTTCTTTAAAAATAACACAAAAAATAAAAATCCAAATCAACATGTAGTTTATACAGGAGCAGTTTTAAAACGTTATTACATCAGAATAGAAAGACATGTGGTTTTAGCAACATCTTATTTATGGGCTAAACCATTTCTGATCTGATGGGTTCTTAGGCTGTCTTTAAGATTGAATATGATTGAAAAATGTAGTAATCGTTACTTTCACTTAACTAAAATAAGCTAGCTTTAACAGGTGTTTGATTTATGTTTTTTCAAATAAAAAACATTTTCATTGCTATAAACTGTCAGAAAGTGTCTCTTTTCAACTGAAAAAAAATTCTGAAGTATTATTATTGTACCATTTGATTAAATAATTAGTCATATGAGCCATAAAGTAAAATCATTACAGTCTACACTTAATTGACTGTCAAACCGCAAACCCAATGTCCACATGAGAACTATATTCAATAATGAATGAATTTATACACATTCATTTACTTATTGCATTAATTAATCGATTAAAATGGACAATTCATGGTGTTAACTTTGTGTTTACTGACCTAGGTTGATCACTTTAAGCCCGGTGAAGAACCTGTTGAAATAGTCCAGGTTCTGTGCAGGTGCTTTGGTGCAGTGGTATTTAATGAAGGGAAAGCAGCCTGTTCTCAGTATATGGTAGTTGGTTCCCTGAACTCTCCAGTTGAAGTTGGACAGTCCGAACTGGTCGTTGTGGACCGAACTGTAGCGGACACAGTATGAAGTCCATGGAGGAAGTTTTCTCTGCAGCAGGTGACAGGTCAACACCTCAGAGGCAGCCGGAAGTGGACCGGTCCTGCCGAAGGTGCTCGGAAACAGGACAATCTTCAAGAAGAGGCGGTGTATGATCCTGAAGGTTTCCTTCATGACTTGCGCAAAATATTTTCTAGTTTTTATTCACCTGGACTTCAGTCTTTGTAGAGACCCGTCTTAAAATGCCCATGATAAACACACCAAAACAGGAGCGGTAACTCACAGCTGACGACTGGTATCAGCGACACCTCAACACGCAACGCTCAATATCATTTTTCCACGTTTTTCTGTAAAAAACAGACTATAGCAATAAATAAATCCTTTAAATCACCTTCTCTCCAGCGATCCTTGTTTTGACACGGTCCTTCGTTTAAAGCCGTCCGTCGTGAAACTCAGCGCCACGAAGCTGTTCCACCTCGACACTCCAGACACTAATTATACTCATTTGTTTCTCCGTAATTATGAACTTGATCAATAAAAACGACATCTCGGTACGTTTGTGACTAATAAAGTGCTAATGTTGTGAAAGGAAGAGTCAGGCTGCTAGCAATATAACAGCAAAAAATATCTTAGATTCAATTGAAATTTCTTTAGCAATATAACAGTAAAAAAATATCTTAGATTCAATTGAAATTAATTTTATTATTGTTGTTGTTATTTTGGGCACCAAAGCCCCGGTAAAGTTCAAATTAATTTATATTCTCAGTTAAATTAAGTCTTTTTAAAAATGTACCTGCTCACCAGAACTTTGTAAATGTTAAAAATTGAGATTTTTCTGCCCCTAAAATGTATGTAAAAACAAGGAAATGTCAACAAAAAACATATTTTTACTGTCCAGAGTATAGACATATATATATATATATATATATCAACTTACATTTTATTGTGATTTTCAATATGCTCTCATGCACTGTTAACTAGTTATTTATGTATTGATTACCAAACATGGTGATGCTGGAAATGTTTCACTTCCAATATATTTAAACTTGACAGGTGCCTAAGCAGCAGGTTTACTCCTTACTGTCCTCTGTTTCCTCTGCAGTAAATCCTTGATGTTTTTGATCAGCACCTCAGAGAAACAGATGAGGAAATAAAACACAGTTTAATTAACCGCACATTTGAATTTTTAACTCATAACACTTTCTACAGCTTTACTAAATATGCATATTTAATGAGTGTATTAAAAGAGATTGTTAAATCATTAACTCACTACCTTGAAATTGGTTTCTTCCTGCATTTTAGAAGCAGATATTTCTCCATGAATGATTGACAGATTGTGGGCAAAGGTCACTAAAGCTCCCTGGAGATCCTCGGAGACGGTTCTATTAACAACAGGGCCAAACAAACGAGTTTACTAACGATCTTCGTGCTGTCAGCTTAGAAACAATCACCCAGCTCCTCTGATGGGGTTGGTTAAATGAAACTTTCAGCAGTGTTCCATCAGTCTTAAGGGGGATGAGCACAGCTTGATTTAACTGTTACATCGCGGTGTAAGCTAAAGGATTCACGTGATAAATATGTTAAATAACCCCTCGCTAAACAAAAAGCAGAATCTGTAACAGCATTTTTAAGGCCAAAGGTGGCATGTTAATCCACAGAAAGAATGGTGTTTACTCTCCGTCTGGAGAAGATTTTTAGTCCCTTAATCCTCTCCCGTCCCCTTCTTTGGTTGTCTGTTTTTCCCCTAGGAAAAGGCAAACTTTTAATAAGACTAAAAACTGTGCTGAACACATATCCTACGATGCTGCACAAGGTCCACGTGAATTAGCTCGAAGCGAGAAATAAACAAACAACAATGACCGAGAAGTACGTACATCATTCCCATGCTGCGTCGCTCACTGCTGTCGTAAAGAGCAAACACCGTGCCGCACTTCCTCTGCAACGTAATGGCAACAAACAAAAGGAGCTCTCAGAGATGTAATAAAGGACAAAAGTAAGGTGTACCATTGTGTACAGTAAATATAAACAGGTTGAACATTTCTACCTGGATGTTAAATCCAATGCCGTGAGCCCTGCACATCTTCAGGAAAACACTGTGGTACAGCATAGAAAGATTGGAGTGAAACAAATGGCCTCCAAGAACAGCACGGCGTGGAATCACTGGAGTCTGGGAAAAGATGTGTAGTTAGTATTGTATGTTTTAATAACTTTTATATATCTGGCCATAGGCTGTGTGTATCCTACAGGTCACAAATTGGAACAGAAGGATCTACAATTGTAATCCCTAGGAAATATATATATATATATTATAAACAAATGAAAGAAAAAAAGAAGTTTGTTTGACTCAAAGTCTCAAACACAAATATACAGTATGCAGTCCCTGTACCATCGACCAGTGGTCAGAGGTTGAAATGCAACGCAATAATGAACCAACGCCATGAATATTTTGCATGGTGAGTTAGTTGTTAATCAAGAAATCGATAAAGTGCTGTAGAATATCAATACAGTATAGTGAAACGAAATATGAAGATACTTCAGTGTATCGATATTTTGCTCCACCTCCATCAACAACACAGTATATAATGCCTACGACTGGACAAACAGATCAGAGAGATTCTGCAGCGGCACCATAACTAACACTACGCAGGCTGATTAAGTGGCAGGGCTCAAGAGAATAAAATTGGTCTGTTTCTCCCTCACCTCCGGGAGACAAAAAAGCACCGGCTAAAGCCTCTGTGAGCTCAGGAGATCGGCCATAACTCGCTGTGACGGCTGTGTGTTTACAGTTGTCAAACACAGGATTCGCACACGACAATTAAAGTGTCCAGCAGGGAGTTAATTGTGTTTGTAATATGCATGGCCCTAATGATGGCCACTGCTGAAGCCATTAACCACTGCATCGGCTCCACTTCTGCAGAGAAGCATCAGGCCAGCGACTAAATGAATGTTTGATAAAATAATACAAGTTGCAGATTAACAAGCGTAAATTCTGGCGTACTGCTAATAAAAGGAGCCTATTGTTTAAGGCCTGGCACCAGGTTGATGAGGTGTTCAAGCATGCATACACATGCATAATGAAAATGCTATGAATTATTAATGTGTTGATTATTTAGGCTCATCTATCAAAATGGTAATGAATTCAGCACCTAAACACCAATTGAGCCCGGTGCGTAATTACAGCTTTTACTTGTATTTAATAAAAATGAGGAGAAAAACTTGATCTACTTCGTGATTACTGTACGGGGACAATAAAGGTCTCTCAAGTATGAATTTGCTTAAGTGGCTTCTGTCTCATCCATGGCGTGAAATTTAACACATAATTAGGGGCTGATAATATTGTAAACAACGGTTTAACTTTTGCAATTAAAATTGAAATACTCCATTTGAAGAAACTGATACGTTACTTTGTCTGCAATCTGTTGTTCACAGTGTTTCCCCTGGACGTGCATGGGTACGTCTAAGCAGCCTGAATGGTGATTCAGAGATCCTCCGGTCATCATCTGTAACATCTGGGTCATGGCCAGTTGGTCACTGTATCTGAGGTCCAGATCAACGGCCCATACCTGCCAATGGATACAATGGAAAATTAACAGTTTTAACTGGATGACATAAAATTTCACACAGGGCTGGACCAGTAATGCTAACAGTGTTATCCACAGTAGGAGGCAGTGCAGAGAAGACAGGGTTGGTATTACAAGCTAGGGTCATTTCAATGGTGGAGTGACACGTGCACAAAGTGCTGCACATCCTTCCCTGTATATTTGAATGGCCATGGCTGCTGTGCCGGGCTCAGATCTGATGAGAAGCTCAGTTCCGATATGTATGGTAAATGGCGTCATTATAAGTATATTAAGGGGTCAGGTATGGTTATAGCCTTCTGCTTAAACAGGGCTAATTTTTTCCAATAATAACCTAATAGCTATGCCCTCTCTTCAAAAGTGGCGAATAAATCACGAGTGAAGGAGTTGTTAATAACTAAGTGGCAGTCGGCTGCCTCCTTTTGCCGTTCCTATTTGTCAAACTAAACGCTGCTGCCACTGAATGCAAATCGCTGCCTGTCTGCTGCCTGCAGTGGCTGAAACCTGAGCACTTCATCTCCACTAACACAAGGATATCTGACCGCCCGCACTCACTCTCTTTCATCTCTCTTAGCCTGTGCACACTGGCAGATTGTGAATTATGGGCAATAATGAAAGGTTTCAACGGACGATAGAGTTCATTATTGCCTAATTGCAATGATGACCTTCTAACAAAATATCTGGAAATGTCACAAAGAGACAGAATGATGCCCAGTGTCAGCGGACCAAAATGTACAAATGTGTCGATAGTGATGCCTATATTCCTGATAATGAATTAGTATAATTGATGAGATAACAATGTTCTATCGCTGCTCATTGAGGCTGATTGTGACTCAAGTGAGATGTGAGGCATTCAAGTTCAACAATTCACTGAGACAACAGTATCTGAGCTTTTGTTTCACTGTTCCACCTCAGTCTTGTATGTTTCCGTTCAATGCACAGCATGCACTTGTGGAGGCTTTAGCAGGTCTGCTGTCAGAGCAGCCTCACCGAGTGCAGGGCAGTGGATAAGTCTACAGCTGTTGAGCTGACCGAAACAATCGTCAGATGGATTGTGAAGACCTGTAGCCTGATAAATATTACTGAGGACGACGGCTTTGCTGACATTCTGAAAGTTCTAACTCCCCACACTACCAACTATCGACAACATGTCACAAAGGAAACTAAGGGAAATGACCAGTTTACACCTCCAGTCCTTTTCCATTCACGTCTTGTTTTGACATTAAAAACCGTGCAGCTAATTGATTAACATAACTGATTAAACAAGAGTTTTCACCTCTCGTTGATTAACTGCTTCTGCCTTCACTCTTTGAGCTCTGTTGTCATCGTCTGATGTAGTTCTTAATTAAAAGTATTTTGTCGCTGCACCACCAGCAATCGAATATATCACTGAGTTGTAATGTATTACTCTGAGCAGCTGAACACGCGGAAGCTTCCGTCAGCTGTTCAGACTCATCATAATCTCTTCAGCAAATATTGCTGTTTGTCAGTTGCATGATGTTTTTTTAATGAATTTACTGATTTCTATTCCTTACCTGATTTGTACATTTATTTTGTAAATCATTTTTTTAATCATTATTTTACAGCTTTCCAATCAGAATGACAACCATCACAAAACTGTTTGTTTTTATTATTATCAGCCCAACAGCAGTGTACAGTCCCCTCACTTTTACCGACTGATGTTCCTCCATCACTACCTGGGCCGTAGTGACGGACACACTCCTCCAGACCATTCACATGACTCACTAAAAATCATACTGCAGCGGCCCATTGTTGCTCTTAACAAAGCAGCAGGAAATGTTAGCCTGGATTGCACCTGTTTTCGATTGCCTTGAATTTTCATTAAAACCCCTGATGCAGCAGCTGTGGCCCAACCGTTCCACAATGTGAGGAAAGACTGCAAGGGCAAACATATGTGACCCACTTCTTCCCATCACATAAAGTAGGCAGCTTTCAGCAACAGGTTTGAATCTAAATTGATGTTTAAATCCAGACAGGTTTGCCCATGTGGCTCTCTTCTGTCTGATCTGTGTGTGTGTGTGCGTGTGTGTGTGTGAGAGTGAGGGCTGGGAGATGGTTAAGTGTCTGTCTTTTAATATCCCTGCCTCTTTTTAAGCACATGCTGTTTTTAGTCTATTCTTAATTATATTGTCATCGACTCACAATCCATTTCAGGTCAACGTCGAGAGGGAAAATTAATTTTAAGGTTGTCGTTACATCTTTCTAAAAGAGGAGGACGGGGCACCGCGTCAAGTCTTTTGACAAAAGGACAGAGTAGTTTGCATTCAAAATACTGACACAAAAAAATAGTGTAGTTTAGTGAACTAGATAAGACATTTAAAAACTAAAGGTTATAATAGTACTAACTGTAAAATCATAATTACTATATAGATTAAAATTAAAATTATTTAAATTCAAGAATATAGACTTTCACTTTTTACACGCTCACACAGTGCAAACATTCATTTCATTAGATACTACCCTCTAGTGGCAAGTGTGCCCTGTTCTTTGCCTCCTTTTATTAAGAATGAAACACAAAAGCAAACATTAATAAAGCTTCAAGACCAAGGACAAACAATCACCCGAGACTTATTTAGACGTCCTAAAAAAACAATAGAAATGCTGTGTCGCCACATGATTGATTTATTTTTTATATTCTTCTTAAAACTATCAAGCAGATCCAGTGCTTTGCTCACTGTTTTAAGGCTTCAGAGTTGTATACATCAGATTGTAAACAAAGCATTTCATTTTACAGCTCTGGATCAATAAGCAGTCGATGCAGCCACATGTAGCGAACTGAGCGCAAACCACCATAAAGCAGTCGTTTTCCAATCTCGTAAATCAAGAGGGTTTCTGCAAAAACCGCTCCTGACAGATGAGCTACGGCGTTGATTGTGTTCTGATACAACAAGGTGAAGAATTTCAGCAGACCTGCAAGTAACACGGCGGAAAAATAAAACACCAACAGAGGTCTAGAGTGAAGCTGTCAAATCACTTAAGGATGACCCGAGGTCTGAGAGATGGCTGCCTCTGAAATTCTCTCCAGTGTAAGGTTAAAGGTCAGGCCTTAAATGGTGGAATCAGTGTATTGACACAATGAGACCTGACAGTTTATCACATGGCCTTGTCACACATTTGGTCCCAGTGCCCAGTGTTTGGTTTGCCTGTTTTCATGCTCCCGGGGGAGCAGGACGGGAGGCACCAAAGCTCCCATATGGATCACTCTCACAGCTTAAAAATGGATCCTTTAAACCAAAATGGTCAAAGATAGAACTATGAAACACCTCGAATGGCAACATCTTTTTGTGAATGTACTGTATTAGCATGAGCTAAGGCCTTGACATTTCCAAGCTGCATCTTACCTTCTGCTCCGTAGTGCCGAGGTCCATAAAGGTAGCCAGGTCCAGGGAGACGTGGCCTACGATGTGGTGTTGCAGACAGACCTGACCCACACGCGCACAGATGGAGTCTAAGGTCTGTGGGTGCACCGAGGTCTGAGGAACGGTGGAACCCACGGCCTCAAACTGACATGAGCCCTGAAGCTGGTCTCCACAGGACAGCGTGATCACATGACCTCCAGGCTCCAGCAGCAGGTCTACAGTAACACAGGTTACAGTGTCTGAAGGTGGATACGCCTCCACTGCACCACCTGGACACACAGTGACAGCAGTGGAACAGAGCGGCTGAACAAGTAGTTGACACATCAAATCACATTTACATCGACGACGTTCTGCATGTTTCAAATTCAGGACAATGACTGGCAGCCCACAGTCAATATCTGACCTTGGCTGAGGAAGGTCTCGATGAAGGAGGTCCAGTTGGGATAGCAGGATGTGTGAGCAGGCCGGGCGTAACGCTCCAGCCACTGAGGAATCTCCTCTAAATATCTGATCAGTACAGACTCCTGCAAAGTAAGAGGTTAAGGTTTGACTTTCTGGAAGTTGGATGAAAATGAGCCCGTGACGGGAAATCATGAAGTTGGTCATTTAATTACACAGACGCCTTTATTTACCACAACATCAAAGTGACTCCAGGGAGATGTGTATTAGCTGATTTAATCCTTGTTTACTACAATTAACTTATTGGTAAATAAGACAGTACTCGCTAATTAACACAGGTTGATGTTCTGTTTGTGTATAAATAAACTCAAAAGGGAGTCGATAAAGAATAGGTAGAGTTGGATAAATAGTTTACCTTTAAATTTCACTAAAAGTCCATTTTAGATCAAGAGATACATAAAACGAATAAACACATGTCAAATTTGGCCCATCTTATCAATTTACGTGTTCCATCAGAGCTTAGCTTAGAGTCTGGTTGTCTTAAAATCAAGTCTAAAGTAAGGACTCAATGCAGTGGTCAAATCTTATCCCTATTTAAATGTAACTTTTAATTTATTTCATTAAAGAAAAATATCTTCAATCTGTTCACATCCATTGTTGAATTAACATTTAATGTTCAACAAATGTTAATCTTATTCGGCCTACAACTTAGAGTGTGCTTTAAGTGTAAGTTTAAGTGATAGGGTTTGACACCCGTGATGTAAAACAATTAGTAATACAGAATTCATTCAAAAATTCAAATTGCCTGTTATTTTAGAAATGGACCCATCCCTGCCTGACACCTCTGGCGACTGCTTCAGTTTCTGTGTGGTCACAGTGTGGGGGTCTACCTGTGAGTGACAGCCTATTATCTGACGGCCTCGGGAGTCTTATAGCCATGAGAGACGGCACATGTCCTCAATAACAAGTCTGTCCACTGAGCAGCTGATGTATACCTCGGCTAACCCCATCTAACTGGGGATCAATCAGGCCGAGCTGGGATCAATATCACTCTTCTTTCTGTAACTAGGAGGTGCCATAATGGCTTCCACCTCTTAATTACGATGTTAATTTTGAACTTACCTTCAAATTGTTCTTTTATACATGTATATATAGAGAGAGAGATGACCAATTTTTGTATTTTACTCCGTTGGTTGTATTTCTGTTTTATAACTCTGTGATGCTCATGTTGTCTGTATGATCAAGGCGTCAAGTTTTCTTTAAGTAAAGAATTCTGCACCTAATGGCGTCTCTGGAACGACCATTAGACGGAGGTTTCATCTGGTCGAACACGACGAAATGTGTTTAAGCGCTGAATAAATCCTAAATGGAAATGTTGCCTTTTGTTCTCCCATTGTTGCTGCTCAGAGCATTACTTTGTTTTTTGAGTATGTGCCGTCTGGCTTCACTGGAGACAGGACTGAAGATTATGCTGTTGACATTCCAGTCATGTAACAGCCATCATCATATTCAAGTACTGTAAGAGGCGAGGTCAAATGCTACACAGTGATTCCCCCTATACAAACCATAAAGCACACAATGGTGCGGCAAAAGTGTAAAGGAACGGTTGTCATTTTCCACGGAAGAACAAGCTCACCCCAGGACTTTGCCTATGCAGTTCACAGAAGCAGCAGGACAGCGGGGAAAGAAAGAGATGTATTTGGCCATAAATTATTTGGTCTTAAACTGCATACAGTAGAGGGTGATAGGATTCAGGCTCTTGTGTCCACACGAAGTGCGGCAATCTGGTGATAAATAAAACAGATGTTGTTCTGCTTGCCGTTGCCATTACATACAGTTAAAAACAACAGAGAGCATTTTAGGGATCGTCATCTGGCTGCTCACCAGCTTTTCTAGTATGTAGATGGACCGTTTGTGGCACTTTAACGCCATTATTTTCCGTCACGTGACTATTTTAAGTCATTCTTCAACTGTCTTTATCACAGCAGCAGTTTTTGTTTATAAGTTTTTTTTTTTTAATCCTCTGAGCATCAGCCCAAAAGAGTAAACCGCAAAAAAAGTTTAGACTTTAAGGCAAATTCCAGTTAACCGTGTACAGACTGATCGTTACATATTTAAGGTTGGCGTCCATACGGGCTGCACAGTATTTAGACCCAAAAACATCTGTATCAACCTCTCTACCTCTTCAGTGGTAATGATTATCAAATGACCCATTTCCTCAACAAAATTTCACCTAAATAAGGTGTTGCTCCAGATCTGTTTGCACACACTACGACGAAAGGAAACACTCCATCTGTTGACGCTATTAGGTGTAATTTTTACCCTCTTGTGCCTAATGATCCATATGCAAGCTGTGTGAGTGCTTAAGTGTGTGTGTACGGCCCCCTTCAGGCGTTGCATGGGTGCAGATCTACATGTCTTTAACCTCTTTCTGTGTAAATGCTAAAAGAGGCCCGGGGGCTTTCTGTGGGCTGGGACACTGCACGTGTCTGTGGGCCTCACAATATTTAGAGAAAGGCACTTGTCCTTAGACCTCTCCAGAAGCTTCTACAGTGTAAATGAAAAGCCTTTTGTTGTGGGCTTTTTTTTTGTTTTTTTTTCTCCATAGCCAGAAGGGATCTGTTGGACTGTTGTTTTTAAAACTACGATGTTTTTCTGGTGAGTTAAGCTCCTTCACGCTGAGCTCTTCAGAACAAGCAATAATTAAAAAATATGAACACATTCTCAGTGTCGGCCTAATCCACTGTCTACTTTGTAGAGTTCATTTCTATTACAAATTTGTATAATATACAATTAAATTATCACCTATTTATTTTTTAGTAAACAGTTATATTGAAGAATCATGAATTAATATTTAATTCCTTTATTTGGTCATTTGGGTTGGATTAATAATTAATTAAATTGCCACTATTTACATAAACCAGGTTAAAACATCTATTAAATTAATTTTTTAACCGACGCACAAATTGTGCGTGCCGAGTGTCCGCCGTCAACACTCGCTGCCCTTTCCCTGGCAATTTAGTCGACTTCTTCTCAGCAAACTGCTGCAGTAATGAGCTGTATTCCTCAAAATGTAGTGGCATCCTTACCCATCAATCTGCAGCCGCCGCTGTGAGGACATACTGGACATAAAATATTCATATGTTTGACTCTAATCATGGCCCGGTACTCGTTCAGCTTGGAGAGCCAAATTGCTATCTTTCAACATGAACTAATACTAGAACAGAAGGACGGAAAATACACTCAGAAGGTTAATGCTCTTTAAGGGTAAACAATGGCACCACAAAAAGAAAATGCATGCAGCGAGGGGCACGGGATGTGTGCTTTGCTTTGATTAAAAGAGCAAGGTGTAGAATAAAGGCCAGTTAAAGCATTGTGTCCATATGGCCCTGAAGCCCCGAGGCTGTCGGCCTACACTGGGGGCCTCGGCACTCTTCCCTCTCCGTGGGACCCCAGCTGGTGAAACAAACCCCATTTACCTTCCACTGCTGCCTCAACCACCATTATGGACCTTGGCTGAGGCTCAGCCCTTCTCTGCCATAATTAACGGCATCAATGCTACAACAATTACAGCGCCGCGTCGCACACTCGCACAGTCAAAGAACAAGCTAATGGGAACGAAACGGAGTGAGCTACAAGAAGCTCAAGATGACTGCTGTTCTTTCAGATGGAATAAAAAGTAAAATCGTTGTGCTCCAAGGCCACAATCATTAGCCTGTAATTAGTTTACACCAAGCTCCCAGTCAAATGGCAAAACACGGTAATTAACACATGACAGAAAATCAAAGGCTACTATGTAAGTATATGAGAAATCAGAGCCAGGGGCTGAGGAGCAGTCTGTGTACAGACTGAATCTGTTCTGAATGAAAGGTTTACCACTTACGACACAAACTGTATCAGGATTGGATTTGAATAAGATCAGAGATTAAATCCACATTTGTTGTTTTTAGGGAAAACGTCATCAGAAAACAGACTTCTAAAGATGTCATTGACTTATTGAACTTAATTAATTAACAGTTAAATGTAGGGAACGTTATTATTGTAGTTTTGCTCCGTGTTGTACAAGACATTTGTGGTCGGCACAGATCTGGACTGCTGGCAAAAAAAAAAAATCGACATCAACCTACAGTAACCAGGTTTTTGTGCAGAATGTGGCCTTCATTGTCACGAGAAAGGTAGAACCACATGACTCTCTGACATTCCCAACAAGATTACTGCTTTAATGGCACCTTCACGTTTATGTATTACACTATTATTTTTTTTCTTCAATTTCATTTATTCTGTTTTTTTGATGCATGGCTGACTTTGGCCTTGTGTCCGATGAGCCCTGACACAGAGAACTTAACTAGGTCTCTGCACAAAAGTGTATGATTTTCCTGTAAATCGCACAGATGAAAGGAAACGCTTTTAAAGAAGCAATCACCGCTGATAAGCGAGAATGAATCTAAAGTCGTCCAGGGCCAATGGCTGCCTGGTAGTGTCCTGCTGACGTGTAGTTCAACACTGGGTTTTAGGACGAGATATTTCTACTGACTCCTCAATATAATCACTGTAGATTTTGACAGGCCTAGATGTTTGTTATACTTGCTGTTACTCATAATATAATATAATACTCATCAGGAACTTACAGTGTTTACCACCGAGAGAAAAGCTATGGCCCATCCTAACACTTAATTGAGTATACTGTCTTTCCTCAACTTTTCCCGTTGACAAAAGTCTCTGTCAGACAATCAGTACGAAGGACAGTGCGTGTGAACAGCCAGATTTTGAATAAAATCATTTTAAATTCTGCGTCTCCGGGGAAAACGGTCAAAACACAGAGCTCCAGGGACTAATGAGCGGCTGTTACTTTAACACCTAATCTCTACCAAATGACTGCATCTCTTTGACCCTGCTGTGACCCTCTCATTTGTTCCTGCAGTGACTCAAGTGACTCTTTTTCTCTTAAAGCCAGTACTGTAATGTTATCTGTTAAATATCTTGCTGTTTCTACGTTAACTCAGAATGGCCATTTCCTGATTGGTACGAGGGCAATAATAACGGCAATAAACATTATCTGTATTGCTTCCTCCTAGAACCATTGTTCTGAAGTGAGCTATGAAAAGGAAATAATGGTAAAAACAACACCATTTCATGGAGTAGTAATGGAGGAAGTTAAAAAAAAAATTTCACAAACCTGAAATTGTGCAAAATTAACACAACCCCCACATAGATGTAAGTGTACTCAGTGGGCTTTAAGAAGCGCTGTGATAGTTTGACACTGTCAGGAATGAGCGTCATAATCAAAGTCGTGTCTTTACCTGAATCTCTTTCGTTTCCCACATCCCAAGACCACAGCGATGGTACTTGTTCAGGGCCCAGTTGTAGCAGCTCAGATGTTGCACGTCACAAAAAGCAGTGCCACAGCCTCCGGGCTCAGGGTCAATCTTAAACAGCCAGCGTTTGACGTCACTGTTTTCAGTCATTAGCCGAGCCAGTGTTTCATGAAGCTACATAAAAAAAGATAGATATATTTGAGCACAAAAATGAACTGTTAATAAAGGTTGCATTCTACTTTCAAATAGTCATTTTTGTTCTCTGACCTGCTTTAGTGAGAAGATGCCTCCTTGACCAGGTGGTACCTCCACCTCTGCTGCGATGAAGATCTTCCTGCATCCGCTCTTGGTGCTATAAAGTTGAGCGATAGCAGGTTCTGGCCCCAGGATGGGTACACCCAGCTCATCGGCTACTGCCAAGTCATCGACGTGAGCAAGTCCTCCAACAATGTACGCTTCTTTCCCCTGGATTAGATTCTTGATACGTTTTAAGGTGTGAGGACTGTACTTCAGTAGTGTGGTCAGGCACAGGTTATGGTTCTACAGTAGAATGAAAAAAAAAAAAGAGCAGAGCGAGATTGTTGGCTGATCTAAGAGTCTCACTGTCTTTTTCAAGGGTTGTTTCTTGACCTGATTTATCACTGTGTACACACAACAGATCTATTATTGTAATATAGCCAGCAGGGTTTTGACCTCTCCTGTATTCCAGCAGGTTGAATTGATAAAAGCTGCCTGTGGGAGGCCTTCCTATCCTTCACATCTTTAATGTGCGCTAGCAATGAGATCCTTGGGAATACAACTAATTACTTCACATCTGTATTTATTTGATCCACATGGAATTATCCCTTCTGTCACAGGCAGAATGTGCTGCCAGCCGTGGGTTGCAGTGATTCATCTCGGCAACATGTCTGGCACAGTGTAACAACAAAACAGCAGGAAAATCAATAGAAAGGAAGGAGGGAAGACGGCCACGTCATGTCGCACATTAGTGGAAATGGATGCAAAAAAGATAAACAGAGGGAAAGGGGGTGGAGGAGGATGTAGCACGATCCTGATTTGTCTGCATCGGTGACATTAAAACAAATGAAATATTCTTAAGATGTTTCTCGGGTGAAGCCAATGACTCCACAAACTAATGATTCAATGTTTACTGAAAAACAGCCTTCAGGATCAGATGAGTTGAATCCATAAAAACACCTTAAAGGACTCTGGTGTATTAATCTGCAAATGAAATATGTCTGTAAAAATATATATATATATACAGACATATCAATACACTCCTGGGTACAAGAATATTGCATTGTGATAACCCTTTCAGCACCATCTAGAGGTGGATTTTAAAACTGCAGATACACGTGGCATTTCATCAAAAAGAACTTTTGATTTAACTTGATTTGAGTGATCTCACCGGGAAATAATCCACGGCCTCAGGTGTGAGGATGACAAAGGGTCTGACGCAGGACGTTGTTGCCGTGGTTCTGTTCCCGGCCGTGTCTGTGGCTCCATCACCCATCAGGAGGGCGGAGTAGTAGTACTCCAAGATATCCTCTCCCAAATGTGTGGGGCAGATAAAGATCACCTCCACCTTTGGATCTAGAAATGGAGCATCCGTTCATTTCCGGTTTACTTTAGAGCACACTGAGTGAAGTGGTGACTCTGTGAGAAGGTCCTACCTCTAATCTCAGCCAGTCTGTTCATTTGAAGGTTCTGCCGGATGTCAAACCCCCTCACGTTCAGTCGACGACTCTGAGAGTATCCTGTCGGAGCGAGGTCACAGAAGGTCAAAACACTGTTACTTCTCACTGTTGTCACACTTCCCAGCTCTGTACACAAACTCCTCAGACGTGCATGTTGGTAGGTGTGTGTGAGTGGTGTGGTTAAGTCTAATCACACAGTAGTGCATTATGATAATGAACCGCAGCTTAATAACTAGCAGGTGCAGTGTCTGCAGTGTGCTGGGAGTCCTGTTGCACCATGTCCAGCCACCACTGAGCTCCATCCAGAGGTACCTCCAGGATCTGTGCTCCGTGTCTGCCTGCTTCTCTGCCTGAGAGAGAATCCTCCACTGAATCAAGGTAATTAAATGATTGGATTCATGCTAATTAACAACAATGGGGTTCAACTTTCTAATTATCCTTGTTCTCGCAGCACTCTGTGTAGCCACCCCGAGTGCAAATAAAGCATTCCATCTGCTAGTAATTAGGCTTAATAATTTTAGACAATCGCTCTATGATTTACAGCACACAGGGGCTGATTACAGTCTGAACGGGTGAACGTCAGTGACGTGATGACTGCCGACGACACGACAGCGTCCTCACTCTGTGTGCCTTTTCTTTTGTCACTCCCACCAAACAAGACATTTTGCGAATATTCGACAAAATAGCTTTTCATTTGCCTAATCTGCAAATTAAATGGGGATTGAGACTAAATTGTTGGGTTCCTTGGCATGGGGACTGTCATCATCCTGTGAGTGCTTTCCTGCGGAGAGTCATTTAAATGAAACGAGTGTCTCCACCAGGACTGCAGCGTAGAGCTGTCGAGTGATGAGACATGAGATGACAGCAGAGAGTGTGATCGTGTGTGTGTGTGTGTGTGTGTGTCATTATTGACCCACTGTAGTCAGGACCACTTAGCCCTCATTAGAATCAAAGCCTGGTCTTAATGACATCAGGTTTTTGTTAGTGGGATTGAGATGTACGGATAAGAGATAATCTTAACAGGATTAACTCTGCATGTGTGAGTGTATGTGTGTGTTTGTGTGTGTGTGTGTGGGGGACGATCAGCATCTACCTAATGAAGGAATGTGTATAATGGTTCTCTTGGAGGACTGGATGTGTTTCCAGTTGGCTGCCAAATTCTAGGGATGGAAGGAAAAAAAAGGGGACGATCAGCATCAGAACTGCCTTGCATCCGCACACACACACACACACACACACACACACACACCACCGTACCACACATCACTGCATAGCTAAAACACATCAACCCAATCTCTCTGGGCTAACAGAAGGAAACCAAGCATAAAACACCACCTTAATTAAATTAAGCGTTTACTTTAGAAACATCTTCCCACAATTAATTCAATAAAGACGGTACATGATGCCTCTGCCAGGGGAAGATTATCAGGCTTAATTAACAGGGTATGAATGTTTACAGCATGTATACACAAACACGGAGATGTTATCACTACATTATTAACTCGTTGGCATTAATTAAAACTGTGGCTGCAGACTACCACCAAATATCATCACTGAACCATGGTGTGTAATATTCAAGCTAGCTGCAATATTCATGGTGTATATTTAACTGATATTGTGATATTCAAATTGGCCATCAGGATAAATTGACATCGTTTAGCCCCAGCCTTCTGTACATTTGTCCTCTTTGTTACTGACGGAGCTGCATCTGTCTCTCTCCATCAGTCTGCTGGGTTCTGGTGCTCATCTGTCTCACTTGTCCTGCTCATCTAACTATCTTTGGTCTCACTGTTTCTTTTGTCTGTCATTAACAACCATATATTATTGACTCAGAGATTTATGTTTAATTGTGTCATTTTTCGTGCCAAAAAACGTCCCTGATGTAGCCTTAAAGTAGATTAAGAAAGCAGGTCTGGATAAACGTCCCTGATGTAGCCTCAAAGTAGATTAAAAAAGCAGGTCTGGATAAAGCCTATATTTAGTATATATAGTGTATGTAATATTTATATTTGGAAAACTCCAGAATAAATACTTACTTCACACAAAAAAGAGAGATAGATCATTTGATTTTAAAAATTAAAGAAAATCAGAGCAATGAGGTGAAGTTTAGAATTGTCAGTGATTAATATTAAGTAAAAAACAGAGATACAGCCGGAAAAAAAAAAAAAAGGCATTTAAGCAAAGCAACATCACCTGGGCTCTGCAGCGGTAATTCTCCAGCTGTCTCAAACGCCGAGCCTGCAGGGCCTCTCTGACACGAATCATCTGAGTGTGCATCAGCCATGAGATGGCGATGGTCCCTGCCGCCCACTTGCGTCTGCAGAGGAGCTGGTAGGCTTTCCGGGCTACACGGCCCCTCCAGCAGGACTGGATGTGGATGACAGCTGCCTCAACGCCACATTCTCCCTTGTAGCGTTGACCTGGGCTTAAAACTAGACCCAGTACCTCCTCAGAGTTTTCAAGCACCGAGAGAAGGTTGATTACTGGAGGAGCCTTTGTCCAACCACTATCCCAGCCATGGGCGAACTCCACCAGCCGCTCCCCACTCACTTTGGCAAGAGGTACAGCAAAGTCCCTGAGCAGCTTTTCTAGGGCCTCCAGAGCATATGCTACACTACTCCAGCACAAACTGAAGCTCTGCCGGAAGTGGCAGAAATGTTCCTCTTTTGTGTCGATCCTGCCGTTTGTGATGGTAAACTGGTATTTGCTGTGGTTCACGTGAGCTGACACCACTTCCATCACCTATAACACGCAGTAATCATGGTTGAATGGAAACACAGTCTGTGAACGGAGACATCAATTATTACAAATAGTGTTTTACCTTAGATCCTTCACAGATGGCGGGGGTGCCCTGCAGCACACATGCCCGGTCCATGTTCTTGGAGGTCGCGCTGGGAGGCGGAGTCCTGGGAGTCAGAAGAACTTTGGCCTCTGATTTTTCATCAGTGAATCCTGGTACTGTCTCCCATTTCTGTAACTTGGACTTAGCTGTAAGACAAAATTTGCTTTCAAATTCACTAATGGTTTTTGTATTTAAAAACAAAAAAACTGTTACAGCTGAAAGAAATAATTATACCAATTATTCAAATATATTTTAGAATTATTGTGATTAGGTCTGAGCAAAATAAAAATCTTTGAAAAAGTGTCATAAATCTGTTTACCTTTTCTCTTGTCTTCTTTAAATTCAGCCATGTTCCAATGGCTCTTTGGCTCACAAGCTCTAAGTTTCTGTGGCGGGCCGAGGATGATGTTGTGATCATTTGCCTGAAATAAAGGAAATTTGTCAAACCAGCAACAAACGAACACCAGCCTGATTTTTCTAGTAGGTTAAAATGCATTGGCTCATTGTGTCTATGCAGAGAGTCACTATCAGTCAGACTGAAGCCAGATTGGAGAAACACAACCTCTGATGAGAGGTCTGTGATTACACTATAATTTCTGAAATAATTCTATTTTTTACAATGCTGTCAACTACCCTGTAACCCCATTTCTGTAATAAATATTAAGACAAAAAATAAGACAAAACCAATTGTTTTAAAACACACTAGTTCACATGGCAGGCCGTGTAACATAATAATACAATGGAAATAAACTCAAAGTTTGTGCTGCAGACCGTCCAGTTTGGTCACCTAATGTCCTCTCCGTCATTCTCTTCAGACCACTGAGCTCTTTGACAGACCACAGGTAGGAGCCAGGTGCTGCAAAAATCTTCCCTCAAAGGCACACATCTGTTTCAGGTGGGCTTGAGGAAAGGTGGCACCTTTCGTAAAAATTGCTAAAATGCAAAAAGCCTATTCCTCGCATTGTGTATAGAGTGAGGATTAGCTGGCCTGAGATGCAGGTGGAGGCAGCAGGCAGAGAGCCAGTGGTTAGCAGTTGGGGAAGCAACGGCTGTCTTATTGGCATGCTGGACCAGGTACCTACTTCTGTCCTGAGACAGCTGTAAACCACTAGCCCATAGCGCAGCAATCAGGCGCTTGTTTCTCTAGAAGAATGCTGATGTGCTGCAATCTGCTGCTTTCTGCTTTCTGCAGACAGTTCTTCTGCCGCTCCTCTCTATCAGAGTGACAATGTTGGCCTCTATTTTTCATGTCGCTTATTGATTCCCCAAAAAACATAATTGAAAGGAAAGTGTGTAAAATACATCGAAAACTAATGCCGACCTTTGCAAAGATCCATCTGTCTCCGGTGACAAGTGCTGCTTGTCATCACTAATTGAGTGACCTTTGTGTCAACGTCTGTGTGAACATCAGACTTGAAGAATCTTTTAATACAAACTCGTGTCATCATTCTTCACAGAAACAAAAACTCTTTGTTCTGCCAGGAAAAGACAGGATGATAACAAACTCATCATAACTGTGGCAGGGCCCTCTGTAATACATCACGAACAAATGTTTCCTGATGCAGAGGTTGTGAACAAAACACAACTGAATCACAAATGTTTCCTGATGCAGAGGTTGTGTGTACGACATATAAAATATATATAAATAGCCAGATTAGATTTTATTCTGAATTTGCTTAACTCACGTGGGGTTTCCTGGAATATAAACCATTTTACTTGAAATGTCTACTAATAGATCTGAACATCAACAATATTATAGATAAATATATTTTTTCAATTATTATTCTTTTTTAAAAATCCTGATTAAAAGCGCCAAACAATCTTAAAGAATTGTATGCTTTCCCTTTCATGAATATAACTGGAGTAAAAAATTGTTTAAAAAAATCTCAGAGCTTATCTTGACTGCCTTCTGGGATACCGTGACTGCACAAGTGACAGTTCCTGAAACGTCAATGGGGTCACCAGAAATTTGTAATGTCAAAATGGGGCCAAAAAAGGTTGCGCATCACTGTATTATAGTAATACTATCTTTTACTTTAACTACACAGTACCGCTGATTGCCTTATTACAGAGTTCAAATAGTTAAGTGAATGGTCGTGGGTATCTTTTAGCCCCACAGCATGTTACTAAATTAAATCCCAAATTACAATATTTTGATTATATTAGAGATCATTATTCAGATGACCCAATAAATGTAAATTGTATTTAATCGGCTAACTAATTTTAAAATTGAAATTAAATTATTCTACAAACTTTGTCAAATTACTTACAATGCTCCGACACTTTCTGTGGACATCGGGGAGTGATATTCCACATTTCTGATTCAGAGTGGTTCTGTTCTTTGTGTGAGCAGGTTTATAATGTAACTGCATCGATAATGGTGACCTGGGCTGAAGAAGAAGAAGAAAACAATACAAAGTTTCAGGCGGGGTTCAATGTAAATTTAACATTAGAATTGTAGAGAGTTTTGTAAAGAAAAGGAAAGGAAAACTAAATGATTTAGGCAACTTTTGGGGGATTGTTTTCTGCATAAATGAAGTCTTGATGTATTTCACCTGTAAAATGGCCACGACCAATACTCTTAGTTCTAATTTGATTAAAATGTAATTAAAAGAAAAGTGGTGTTTTTTATTTTATTTATTTTGCCTGACAAGTATGTTTTGAAGTATCTTATCATATGACAGATTTAGGCTGGAACTGAATTTTTAGTATGTTTCTGCCTTGTTGAAATGTGGTTGGAACATTGAAGTGAATAAAATAGTAAAATAGAATTTACTAAATACCATCTGCACAGTCAGATTTTAAAGAGGATTTTCCCCCCTGTTTAATCTAAATTATAACTGCTGCAATTATTTCTAAATAGAGTACTATTATTATGAAAATAGTGAATAAATAACACCATTTGCACAGTCAGATTTTAGAGAGGATTTTTTTCAATTATTTCTAAATACAGCATTATTATTATGAAAATAGTGAATAAATAAAAAATGATCTACCTCATTATTGTTTGAAGTCCGTAAAATATCTTCTCCTTGCCAGTGCATTTTCGGGAAGAAATCCAGAACAGGTTCCCTTTTCATAAGAATTACAATGTCTAGCACCAGACTGTATCATCTTCTAATTCAATATAATCACATTTTTATTATTGAGCTGTGTCAGATTTTTCTTTCCTACCAAACAAACAAACAAACAAACAAAAAACGATTTACCATTTGGGAATCTCCAAACACCTATTTGGAATGTTCTCAATGCTGGGAAGAACCAGCAGCCGTGTTGTTACTGTTCTGAGATATTCTTCAGTTTGTTTCTTTTATTTTATAAAAGAACAGAACAGTCAGTCACTTTTGGTCTACTCATTATACATCATATAAGGTAGTAGTGAAGTTGTGAATAAAATATTCTCACCCTGACACTGTTCTCTGTCTTACTGAGGGCATAGTCCAAAGCCTTCAGTGTTGTTGCTGGACTTTCACTGGCTGGAATTCTCTGAAGACCTAATCTGAGTTGTCTCAAATCCTTTTGTACCTGTAGTGTGATGTAACGTGGACAACTGTGACTCTTTAAAATCAAATCCCATAAAGAAATATCACTATAAAGCACTTTTTATGACAAAAAGCAGTTTAGATACTAATTTATTTTTTAGTTAAATGAAAAACAAAGCAATGTTCAGCAAATCTGACTTTGGAAAAAAAAAAAGATTTACCTGAACTAAAACTGCTCCTAATTTATCCTCATATCGAAGTGTATTCGACATTTTTCCGCTAATAGATTTAGACAAACTGATTTTAATCTAATCTAATATTCTAATATTTTTTTCCTATATACTCGTGGTTAAAAGTTAACCTCTGTAGTAGTGGCGTTGTCATGCCAACCCGTGACCGGCTAAAAGGTGCTCTTTATGCCCAGTGCTATGACTTTCAGGATAACCGTCATACTGCAGTTAAAGTAAGGTTAGTAAAAATGAATTACTGATTCCTTGGGTCTAGCTTTATTCAAAAAAAAAAAAATTTAAACCATTTTAATTTTTTACAATAATGTTGAATTCATAGAAGTACTGGTGTAAGGCAAAACATTGAAAACTTGACGCTAAATTTATTTTTTAAGTCAATTGCCCAGGATTTTATTTCAGAGTTCCATCTAAACTTATCAAAATAAACAAAATGTACTATTGTTTATATATATAAAAACACATTCTTGAAAATATTTGTTGCCTTCACTTTTAGTAATACTGCATCTTTTTTGTTTCATAATTATTTTCGATAGCCAATGTGTAAACGTTACTTAATACATACATTAAATTTAATATAACATTTTAATTAATAGTTTAAGTTTTCTTTTAATGTACTGTTGTTGAAGTGTCATACCGGAAGCAATTATCTCATCCTGAGGTAATAGGTCATATTCTTTGTCGTCGCTATACGATAGTTAGCAGCTAGTTAAACTTGTCTGCTCTATTAAAAATGTCAGCATCGGAGAACGAAACGGATATGAATATTCCCTGCGTACTCGTTACAAGCTGTGACGTGGCTTTCAAAGAAGAGGAGTTGATCAAACGTAAGATCAGCGAAGTTTCAGTACATGTTTTGGCTAAGATGCTAACGTCAATGCTAACCCCAGAGCTATGTCTCTCTTTAAAGCTCCAATCAGTTACAGCTTTTTATGCAGTTTAAAGTGAATGATATCAACAGATTGTGAATGTAAAATAAATGACAATGCTGAGTATCACAGTGATATTTTTCTACGTAAGCCGTAGCATTTCGTAGCCCAATTCAATGTCAGTATTTTGAACTGAAGTATATTTCTCCTCAGAGATTTTGAACACATCGACTCTGCCAGAGCCGACGAAGAGAGAGGAAACAGTGGTGTGGTATCCCTGGAACATAAACAACAAATATTACACCGCAGATGTCAGGTTGTGTGTCGTACCCAGCACTTACCAGATGTCAGCAGAGGTTGCACAGTGCACCCAGGCTTTCATTGCTTATTTTGACAGTAGTTCGGTGCGTGATTAAATATACCAGTTATATTAACATGTTCTCTTGAATAATATTAAATCGTTTTCTGTGGTCTTTACAGAAGGACGGGTTGGAAAAACTCAATCCGTGGATATCTATAGTAGAAGATATTGCCCCAGAGGTCCTTATTCTGGTGTGTGATCGAGTCTGTGAAAACGGTCAGTTCTTCAGTTTTGTGAGCAACACTTGAGCAAACTGTACGGTATTTTAAAATTCTAAATTTGTTTCCTTCTTCTAGGGGTAACAAGACATGAAGCACACCAGTGGTGTCTGGCTCATGCCTTTGAGTTGGTGGAGCTCAATCCTCAGGAGCTGCCTGATGAAGATGGTGACTATTACTGCACTATTTGTATATCCCAATTAAAAAATGATTTGTTCAATTACTTTTCAAGGTAGGTTTTCAAGCTCTTTGAGTAATTGTTCTAACCCTTTATGTGTTTGCTTGTTTTTACACTCAACCAGATGACTTTCCAGAATCGACTGGCGTAAAAAGGATAGTTCAGGCCTTGAACGCAAATGTGTGGACCAGTGTAGAGATGAAGGACGGTGAGAGAAAACCACAAATGCATTTTCAAAAGTCTACCTGGTGTGTGTTCGTGTGGTTCATGACACCTTGTATCTGGGTCCAACAGCGAACAATCAGGGCTTTGGTCTGATGAGCAGCTTGGTAGCATCCAGACACAACAATCCACGCAACTGTCACGATCCAGAAGTAGGTACATTTTCTGTCTTATGCATGTTTATTTTATCAAAGTCATATTTCCCTTTTTTAATTGAAAAGTATATTTAAAAAACGCAGGCTAAAATCGTCCTCTTTTTGTGCTAGTCTTCTAGTTTGTCAGCAGAGGGCGCACTTGTAAACGAAGCCACCCATACAGAACACAGTACAAACACAAGCACAACAGAAGACACAGTGGTGGGTAAGTTGTTGTCTCCACATTTAGGGAACCACTATGTCTGTCTTAGAAAGACGTTCAGTGCATTTGCACTTGTTGTCATTCATTAGTGTGTTCTTTGACACAGACGCAATGACAGACCTGGACATTCAAGAACTTGCTAATCTAACAGCCGCAGATGGGGATGTGGATAACTTTGAACGGCTCTTTACAAAATTAAAAGAGATGAAAGGTAATGATGGTAATGAAAAAAAAAGCCAACAAAAAACAGCATGTTTTTGTTTGAAGGTTTGCACGACTTAATGTGCTATGATATTGTCTCTGTCTCAGATAAAGCTTCTTCGTTACCTCATGAGCAGAGAAAGGTCCATGCAGAAAAGGTAACCAACTGTACTCTCCACAACTTATGTTATTTCTTACTCATTTTAATTATGTCTATTAAAAATATAAGTCAAATTACATGACTGTGTACGGAATGTCATTCCCAGGTTGCAAAAGCATTTTGGATGGCAATAGGTGGAGATGTAGAGGAGATTGATGGAATATCATCTGGAGAAGACATCTAAAACAAACCGGTTACTTCGCTCTGATCCTTGTGTCCTGTGACTCTTAACAAGGTCCAAGAACTGGAGAATTTAAGAAGGCTTGCACTTCAAAAATGAACTTTGAGGGATGAGAGATGGAACTGTGAGAGTCATGTGTAGAAAGTCTCTAATGTGTTTAATGTGTTTGTCCTTAAGGCACTGTTGTCACGTTCTCTTTTTTTTTCAAGTGGCCTGTGCCTTATTCTTATGAGTTGTAATGTAAATTCTAATCAACATAAAGAAGAGTGATTTTATGTTGTCTTTTTCACTGTTTTTCACTGTGAATTAATCTTGTGCCTTGTGTTGACACAGCATTGAATACAGTATACAAAATCTTTGTAAAAGATATGTAAAATGAAACAACTGTAATAACTCATGTTAGAGTACCCTAAAATGTAGTGGAGTTAAAGTGTTGCAGAGGTGAAGAACATGGCTCTTAGTTTCATAACTATTAGACCATTGATAACACAATCAAATAAATTAACATGCTAATCCTGCAAACCCGTGAAAGCATCAAGGCAACAACAGAACAGGAATGTACAAAAGTAATCAAAGCAAATTTCAGGAATGGAAATAAAAAGTATTATGATGTAATTCAAAAAAGATCCAAACAGTGCAGTCTAAACTTAGCAGATGTAAGAAAGAAAGAAAAAGAAGCAAGTTTAAACATGACCAGCAACAAATGTTTTAAAGAAAAGAAACAAAATCATTGCTGTGATGGTGGAGATTGGTGGAGTCTGGAGATGAAATGTCAACAAATACAGTAGGTCAACCTTAAAAGAGACGATAAAACGTGGAAAAAAACAGGGTTGAGAACTGAGGGGGTTTCTGTTGTTCACTGTGTTCCTTCAGTGTGTGATGTCAGGCCTACCCAAAGTCCTGACATTCAGGGAAAATCAAAGGAGAGAACTGAAGACTGAAGATAAGTTTGAGAGATTCACTGTGCGGAAGGAAAATCTCAGATAATTCACCCACATCTTTATAA